TTAGACAAAACTTTTTTTCATTTCGGTTAGTAGCTGCGTGGAATGACCTTCCTCCGACGGTTGTACACGCTCCTTCTCGAACCCAGTTTAAAGCACTATTAGACATTTATTTATGCGAATCCTCGCGCTAGCGAGCATTCTGCCCCGCGCTGAGAACATAAAGAGCAGTGCTACACCCTTTTTTCACTTGTGCCTTTCAGGTGAACGACAGCCACTGACCGACAAGAACAAAACCGACCCGGGAAACTTGGGCAAAAGCCTTGATCCTGTGTATCAATCCGTGAATCCGTGAAAGATGGTCGATCTAGATTGGCTGGCATTCTGACCTATCAGGGCAGCCCTTTGATTGGTCCTCAGCCCGCATGTGTACATCTGACGCGCTGTTCGGCTATTAGATTGAGTGGTCTCCGGACACCAGTCCGGCTTCCTTGCCCAAGGAATGCCTAAGCACTGGTGGAGGGCATCCGGCGATGAACTGCTTAACATGCAGGCGTACGAATATCGCATTGAGGTCTCTGAACTCTTTACTAAAATATTGCAGGCTACGAGGTGACCTCAGCCCAGCTGACAAAAAGCCGTTTCACAACGCCGACTTGCCAGTCCGCGCCCACCTAGGTCACCTGATAGGATATTTGCTCAAACGTGGGACACGTATGGGCAGGTCTCAGCGGTGCTGGTACAGTTTGACCATACCTGCTACTAGCATCTGAAACTCTACCTGGTGCTGTTGCTTTCGCAAACAAAGAGAGGTTTTCAAACACGATCCGGGCGCTTGTTTCCGCCATGTAGGTCCCACGTGCTAAGGAGAAGGAGCCGCTCATTCCCACTTCGGTCGTTGATTGATTGAACCAACCTCTTAATTCTACCTTCAAATCAGCGGAAGGTCTCAGTATGCTGGCATGAGATAGGAAAGTCGAAAAGAAGTCGGGTGACGTCACCCGGATTTGAACCGGGAACCAGGAGGTCTGGTCCCGAGCTTATCTTTCTGGGCCACGGAGCTACCAGCGGCCATTGTTGTATGTAGTAGTCGTATGTTTCGGTATGGATGACGTGACTAGGACCAGCCAATCGTTTGCTTCAGTTTGGCTCGTGCATGAATCGACTTCCCAACATCCCAATATATTTGCGGGGTAGTTGGCTTGTTTGCGGGTTCTAATTGACAACTAATAGGCTATCTTGAGCGACAAGCCCAAAAATAGACGTGTATATAATGACCATTTTCACTGCAATATTCTTCACAGTTATTCTGCCATCTGCACCGTGGGTATAAGGTATCACAGATGATCCCGTCAAGTAAAGTGATTCCTCAACTGACCCGATGGTGCTTGTGGAGAGTAGATGGCTTCTGTGCGTATGAAAGTTTTAGATACATCTTTGAGATACAGCTCGCCATGTCCAGCGTCCGGGGAGAAACACAGCGATCTGAGTATCTGGTGGTAGCGCTTTCAATATCTCTGGTTCTAGATGTCCACTTTGTCTTAATAAACTCGCCTACCTACGCTCCTTTTCCACCATGAAGGACGCACTTTTACGGCGCACGTCGATTTCAATAGCTTCTGGACGGCCTACCAGATGAAATCAAGAGGGTTTGGTAAATATTTCGAACTAATACATGTTGGATGATCTATCACGGGATTCAGACCAAGAAATGAGGGAACAAAAGCGTCGCTCGAACGGGTAAACGCTGCCCCACAAACGTAGTCCTTATTTTAGTCCTCGAGAGTGAGCTGAACGAACTTTAGGCTCATGGTTTTGGCACTGAGTGGTTGCAGACAACCCACATCTCGAGGGGAACCGTCACAGCAACACTATCCACTGCAATCGGACGGTGCGTGTTTGTACCATTAATCGTTTAAGTCCAAAGCACGAAACTGCACCTATTAACGAAGGTCCTCAATTATTTGTCAGCTGCAAACCATGCACCATAGCCAAATTGGTTCCAGCTGCTACAACCTCGATTACCAAAAAGTGGGAAATTGTCAATTTCGGAGGTGGTGACATGTTCAATTTGGGAATTAGGTAGCTACACACTGGTAAATTTGACGCACGTGTGCCATTGACTGCGCGAATGGGTCGTTTCTGCCAGCGAAATTAACAATCGTTGAGTTGAGTTCCGGGTCACCATCCAGGAAGGCGGCAGCTGTAGACTCGACTAAGTTTACCGGTTAGTGTTTTCATACTTTGTTACCAGGTCATGCATTCTAGGTCATGGTGCAGGTTTTCTGCATCGAGAGCATTCTCCATCTCCTTGGCCGTCGAAATCCACTAGCGCTCTCTGTCATTCTTGAAGCTCATGGCTATCCAGTGTTCGAGGAATCTGTGTG